TATTAGAAGTTATTGCTTATAATATATATACATAAATTATATATATAATCTATGTATATATAGATATATTGGGTGAAAGGAAGATAAATGAGTAAAAATGTAAGGGTTACAACTCACTCTTTCTTTGGTTCTGAAATACAGAGTCTGTCACATCCCCTCGTTTTGGAATTAAGCAAATGAGGTTTCACATGGAATTTTGGTTTCTTTGCATTTGCTTCTAATTCTGGAATTAGAATCCCACATCAGTGGGATGTGGACCTAAATTTGAACTGGATGGAATTACAGTTTTGACTCTAATGACAGCTTGTTCTTGTGCACAATCTTCAGGAAAGCTATTGTTATTCAATAATAAACGTATATTCCTGAAATGTCAGGAGTTCAGTTTCTGCTTGTGTATTTACAGCTCATTAGCACAGGAGCAGTTAGTTTCAGTTAGTTTTGGTGTTCTTTTAATTTCCCTTTAGTGTCAAACATGTTATGTTCAGCACCTGAAGATCTGCTTATTGAATACTTCTGTTTCTAACCAGCTTTGAAAGATGTTCTCACTGCAGAGAGATCTTCACTCTCGACTGTCAATTATGGGATAATATGAGTGAGGAGTGCAAAAAGAATGACTATGGAAAATGCATTTTATCAAGGTTTATTATTTTCCCTGAAAATGAGAAGAAATGCATTTAAAACTCCTACATGAAAAAGCATATTGACTAGGTGAAATGTTTTATCAGGTAGCTAACCTTCTACAGATTTTGATTGCTTGTGGTTTTAAATTATAAAATTTAGCAAAAAGACCCCCGAATTTGATCATCAAGGTCAAGTGATGAGATCTTGGCCCTATTACTCACTTGTTAGAATGATTTACTGAAAATGATACTGAGCTGTGCAGTTGACACCAGGTAAGGATCAGATGGGTTTTTTCTGCCCTTTTGTACCTCAGAGTATTAAATCTAAATTACTTCCAGTTGCCAGAGTGTGTTGGAAGGTTTCTGTAAGCAGTCCTGTTCCTCTTAAAGCAAATTTTATAGCCTTTTAGAATTCTGTAAGGGAGTGTTGTGCCTTGATGAATCTCTTTTGTCTTACCTGTGTCTTTGTTGGTGACTTGAAGGTATTATCCATGTAGAAAATAAAGCCAGTGTGGTCAAATAGTCAATATTTCTGCAACCCTCACCAATAAACATTTTGGTTTTTTTTCTTGTCTCCCCCTCAGAACAAAAGCCTCAAAACCAAGCTCTTGTCAGGAAACAAGCTTTGTGGCATTCATGCAGAGGAGGTAAGGAAGGTTCCTCTCTATTCTAAATCTAACATAACCCAAAAAAGTTTGCATCAAAGCCTTTTTTACTGAGGTTCAGGTATATTTTATATATATATATATATGTATATATATATATATCTATATACACACCAAAATATAGAATATATATTATATATATATATGAGTGTTCCTAAAGTGCTCTCATTCCAGCTCATTTCAGTGACTTCACTAGAAGCAGCTCAAATGTTTTAGACAGTGAGCTGCAAACTCAAGTCTTAGACAAGTGAAATCATTTGGGCACGCTTATGATATAGCTCTGCAAATTTATTATGCATCTATAACATATATAAAACCAATTTACTTTCCTTGATCTCCATGCCTAGACTAAGATGGGAATTGCCAAATGCCTGTTTTGAAATTAAGTTAGAGACAGGCAAAATTTATTGTTATTGATTCCTAGAATGTTTCATTACTTCAAGGATAAAAGGGTCACTTTATGAAATTGTGGGAATGAAATCTCCCCTCTGCTGAAGAGTGAGATGGAAAAGATAGTCAGTGATAAAAAACCCTATTTGTTGGCAAATAGATCAGTGTAGAAGTACCTGCATTCATTCAAGCAGCCCCTTTAATTTTTTAACTTCTCATGAAAAAAAAGATATTACAACATGTGAATCCAATTTACTCATTTATATTACTTTAGTCTGGGTTTTTTGCATATATAATTTCTGTAAAAGTCATTGCACCTTGCCTGAATGAAGCAGAGGCAGAACATCTTTACTGAAATTTCCATAATTATGGTTGAATGTGTTTTCTTCATCAGAGTCTCTGCCTTTTAACTTAGAGGTCAGTACTTAGGAGGCCAAGTTTCTGAGAAATACCCAATGGTAGGAAATAATAGGATTTATGACCCCATGGAGAACCCCTGCTGGAGCAACCTGTTCCTGAAGGACTGCATCCCACGGGAAGGGAGCATTCTGGAGCAGTTAATAAAGTTAATAAAGCCCATTGGGAAGGACTCACACTGGAGAAGTTTGGGAAGACTCTTTCCCACAGAAACCTGTTCCCCCTTGCTGGAGCAGGGGAACTGCTCCCCCTGAGGGGGAAACAGCAACAGAAACATGGGATTAGCTGACAGTAATCCCAATTCCTTGTCTCCCTGTGCTGCTAAAGAGGGAGGTAGAACCTGAGAGGAGGAAGGAGTTGGGGGAAGGTGTTTTTAAGACTTGTTTTGCTTCTCGTTGTCCTGCTCTGATTTTGATTAATTTCAATTAATTTTCCCCAGCCAAGTCTGTTTTGCCCATGACAGTAATTGGTGACTGAGCTGTCTTTGTCCTTATCTCAACTCATGAACCTTTTTTCTATTTTCTGTCCCTTGTCCAGCTGAGGAGGGAAGTGATGGTGGCTTTGGTGGGCACCTCCCACCCAGCCAGGGTCAAACCACCACACCTAGCTGCATAATATTTTGAATCTTTGGTGATTAACTTGATGGTCTTTTCCCTGATTATGTCCCCTTTAATATTTGCAACATAAATGTCTGGAAAGATGAGGCCTAAGAATAATTTAACTGCACTGTAGGGTGACAAGCCCTGGCTCTCAGAAAATTTCAGGAAACTAAACCTACATTAAGTAGCAGATTGTGAGTGTATTTTAAAGTGTGAGAATCTCTGGCTTGATGAATCATCCTGGCTTGATGAATCATCGTGGCTATTAAGCATGTTAGTACCTTTAGAACAGGCAAAGATGCTGCAGGAGCATCCTTTTTTTTTGTGGTCATTTTACCAGTTAGGTTGTGCCAACCAGAGACACAAGGTATTTTCTGCATTTAATTAATTAACTAATAACTCGATATCCTTTTAGTTATTAGATCCAAGCCCTTTGGGGGTAGAATAGCCCACCTGGAAGCTCCTGCTTCGTTCTGCTCCCCCAGGCTGAGTGCAAACAGAGTGATTCCCTGCTGTCCCGTAGCATCCATGGGAACATGCTTGGGATCCTGCACACTTTACATGGCTGGATTTTCTTCTCTGAGAAGTCAGAGCCCTGGCGAGAGGAAGGCAGGGTGGTGCAGATTTTGGTGTTCCCAGGACACGGAAATGGGCACGTGCCAGGGCAGTATTCCCAGATGCTGTGGTTTAGAGATCCGTGTTTAATGACGATTTCTCTGTCTGACTGCACTAAGAGGTGTCAGTTTTGTAAGTCCTCTCCCTCAAAGCAGAGAAAACCCCCAAAACGACCAGATTTTATCACGAAGACTTGCAGGTCATATGTGTGCTTTTTGAGTCCCTTATGTGAGCACTGAATGCATTTAGCTTTATGACTCTTAATTTCATCACAGCTTTGATATTTAGCAAATGAGTGATACCTTAACTCTAACTCTCAGATTCCTCTGCAGCCTTTTTGTGTACCTTGTATATCACAGAGACTGTTTATTTTCTTAAGCATGACCCCTAGAACAATATAAAGTTGGTTAATATTTTTTAATTTAGGTGGTGTGGAATATATTCCATAACTCTACCAGTTACACTGCCCAGGTTAGAGGACAGTGCTGTTGGATGAACTAACAGCAGATAAAGTCACAGAAGAATGAATTGAACTGAACTGATCTTGGCTATTTGGTTCAGATTTTATGGAATACCATAACCATTTTGGCCTCACTGTTTAAATATTTAAAGCAGGCTCTAAAATTTCATCTTTAGATTCGTTCAAACTTCCCAAAAGTCTGTCACTGAATTGGACTGGACCAATTGGAAGGACATCAATTTTTTCCAGAAATTTCAGTTTGTGAAATTCAGTTTATGAAATTTATTACTACCTTTGTAATATGTTACATTTATGGATACACTGTTTCAGTAAATGTGAAATAGTCTTCTAATACATTTAAAGGAGTTCAAAACATTTGGCATTAACTAATACAAGAAAATTAATTAACTAATTAACTAATACAAGAAAATATTAATTAACTAATTAACTAATTAACTAAAACAAGAATATCAGTCAGGACTGTGGATTTTATTTTAAAAAGTTATTATTTTGACAGGATTCTTAGATAAAGGGTGAGATATTGTTCCTCGGATAGTTGGGTTTAGTATAAAGAATCCATTTCTATTATATTTTGTTTAAATAAATAAAATAATACATAGGCTATTACTTAGAATTATTTTAAGACTAAATGTAACAAGATTTGAAATAAATATCATCTTGAGCTGATATAAATAAGCATAACTCTGCCTGTTTTCAAGGGCATGGTTACAAACTAGTTCATTTGGACACCTGCTGGAGTGCCCTATTTTTTTTTACAAAGAATAACCTGTGCAATCCTCTGGAGCCTTTATACCCCTAAAAATAGGATTGCTCACTTCAGGTACCCTTCATGGAAAGTATTAGTAACAACTCACATATAAAATGTGTGAGTCCAAGAGCTGTTCATATCCCTCACTTACGTGCTTTAGGTAAGTGGCAGTTTATATTTTCCTTGATACTTTTGGCTGGTTTTGACATGTCAACCAGGAAAAACAATTGTTAATTATTTGGGGGGTAAGGGCTTTCTGCATTTCAGAGCTGATCTAGATTCTGCTGTTGCCAGAACTCACTACCTTTTTTTTTTTCTGATCTTAAAAGTAAATATTTAAAATAAAAACACCCCCAAACCTGATTTTATTATCATCCTCACTTTCAGTCCAAAAAGATCCAAGCCCAGCTGAAAGAACTTCGTTATGGGAAAAAGGATTTGATTTTTAAGGTAAGTTTTATTTCACTATAGTTAGCTAAAATAATAGAGTTAATATGGTATTGTGGTAATCTAGGAATATGAAAGCTGGTTTTATTACTGCAGTTCTAAGGAATAATTTCATTCTGAAAACAGCTTAAAGCACCGAGATAGACTTAATGCCATAATGCATTTTCAGAAATATTGTCTTTTTTTCCATGCAAAACAATGAAACAGGGACGGTGTTTTCATTAAATTGGTTGCAGGGCCAAAGAAGAGAAGATTCTGAGCCTAAAAAGTTTTCTGGTGTCTTTGCTTTTAAATAGACAAAAGCAGTGGCAAGTATCTGGTTTATGAGTACCTGTGCTCACATTCTAGTTTACTGCTGATGAACAAAACCTGTTGCCCTATTCCATACATTCTGTAACAGGTTTTCCATCTTTCTAACTGAATCATAGAAACAGATGGTTCTTGTTTTTCCTTTAATTAGCAGCCCTCCGTGGCAGAGTCAATTATTGTCAACACTGAAAGTAAATCTTTGTGTTTATGATAAGCTCGAGCAATGTAATATTCCCTGGATGTGAAGCTTCTAGAAAAAGAAACTTCTGTGGCTTCAACAACCCAAATGAATCGTCTGCCTAGCTAGCACATTTTAAAAGAAAAAATAAAAAAATAAGCAGGGGGGAGGACAAAAAATAAAAACTTTGCTCCTTGTTAACAAAGGGAGAAATTAATCCCTGTTAAAGGAGGAGGAGAGAGATGCAAGTCACCTGACTGGAGGCTGCTGATTGAGTAGCCCTTTTATTCCCAGCATAAAGGATGAAGATGAAGTAGTCATCTTCAGAGTGACCATACCTAGAATTACTTAAAAAGTCATTCATGTCAATATGAGGTCCAAATTGCCTTCTGGAACTGTTTAACTCTCTCTATTGTATATACAGTACTGTAAAGATGGAATAACGTAGGGCATTTATAATACACAATGTGATTTCTGTGATTTTTTTTTTTTTTAATGCATAGGTTGATTCCAAGTTTTTTCAGGAACTTTTATTTCTGTTCATCATAAGACCAAAACCAGGGAAATAGGTTTAGAGACAAAAAGAATAGGCATATTAAACATCTAGGCATTTAAATTTTAATACCAGCTAACATTACCAAAAATAACACATCTTTCTTCAAATTCAATATAATTGAGAGCTTAAGCAGAGGAAAAGATTATGAATTCTAATCTTGCCTTGGTGTGAAAGCTTCTTTTGTTTGGCTGAAGCAGAGGGATTGTTCAGCATTACTTTTTACTTGCTGTTTTCATGATGCTGGTACACAGTGATCCCAAAACCAGATCTGAATTATCTCCCAGGGTGCCTAGTCATGCTTAGCAAGGGAACTCCTGCTAGGTACTACCCACTCAAAAAAAACTTAGAGAAGGTGAGAGGGAAAACAGGAACATGAAGGAATGAACACATGGGAAAGGCTGTCCGGCAAGTCACCGGCCCGTGGACAATGAAATCCTGCTCCTAGTTCAGTAAACTCTGACAACGTGGTGGTTCAGGTACAGATGGAAGGAACAGGGGTTTGGGGTGGAAGGGAGGGACAGAGTTACATATTAATAGAGGAAGTGTGTCTAGTGTGAGAGGGAATAGATGTGGGTCTCCTCTGACTGGGTATGAATGTCTGCGTCATAGTCTCCACTCCGAATCCTTGCAGAGTTGTCTTCTCCTGGAGACTACATTTGATGACAGGAATTAGGCCTTAAAGTCCTTGACTTGTATTGAATAAACACAGTTCTTGATTATGAGTGAATACTAGAGCCACCAGCTCGGATGTAGGTCCCAAGGTAGGTAGCTTGGGTTCTCCTCTGGGAACTGGATGTGCAAACACTTGGAACATCTCCTGACCACGTGCAGTTGGGTATGAGGTTGAGTGCCTGCTTTGCTAATTGGGTACATCCTTTACGTGCAGCCAGAAATATTGGTGCAGGTTTATCCATCAGTATTTCTCCTGACTAAGGAAATTCGATTTATGAAGCAAAGGGAGCAGAAACCTTCTGCTGCCCTCCTAAATCATCGTGTGAGATGTGGGGGAGGGTAGATTCAGTGTGCTGGTTTGTGTGTGTGTCAGGTTTGCAGACAGGCACGCTGAGCAGAGTAGAAGCCGTTTGGTACAGGCTGGAAAGCCTTTTAAGTGTCTGCTTGATCAGAGAGAGGCTGCTAGATTTGGGCAAAAACAGGTGGTATTTCATTTCTGGTTACTTTGATACTGGAAATGTAACAGATTTAATGTTATCATAGCTGTTGAGTCTGTTTTGTGAAGCTCTTATTCGGAACTCTGATAAATGAAATGGATGGATAGTCTTCTGCCAGGACAGAGCATGAATGTTTGGGATAAAATCCTGGCTGCTAGCTACTGTCTTGTTACTGGACTTCTACATTTTCGCCTTCCCACCCCACTGAACTCAGTTTCTGTTTGCCTTACTGAGAATTTAGGGAATTCTGCTCTCCACACAGCTCTGAGCTTCTTGGAGCAGTTCACCAGAAGGATGTGAGCTGCAGGCTATCAGATTTCTAAAGGGCATGAGAGAATGCTGCAGTCCATGCCCAAGCACTACTGCTTTCTGTGAAGGAATTAATTGTGCACATAGATGTGATACAGGAAGGGGTTGTTTAGATTTTTGTTTTGCATAATCAACATCAAGGGGCTGTTACTTGAATTCTGGTAACTGTTATTGTCAATGGCTCTGTACCAAACTAGACCTCTGGGGATTAAGCAGGAAAGGAAGAGGAAAGGGGGGAAAAGGCAGCTTTCTCCTTTAATATCCCAGTGAATTGGTAAATCATATCCACTTTTAACACTGTGTGACAGCAAGCTAACAGGTGGTAGTAAATACAAGTTCATCACTTTAGGCATGTATTTACTCTCCTTATGTTTTCAAAGTGTTTTGTGGTCTGTCTGATCAGTTATGGAGCATATATGTATGTATGTTTATGTTTTTTGAACTCTCCCTATGGGATATAAAGCCAGGTGCAAGACAAGCAATGAGCATCACAAAAATTAAGTGATGTGCTGGAGGCTGTAGAGGTTGTCAGTGTCTCTACTGAGATTAGAATTTGAGCTACTGTCTCTTTGTCAGACTTCAGTCTCTTAAAGCATGCAGTGTCCTTAAAGAGCTCAAAAAAAAGTGTAAATTTGCTTTGTATTATTATGAGAAAAATAAGAAATTATTAATAAAAATTACCACTCAGTCTTCCTAATTTTGTCATTACCTTTGTAAGTAGGTACTTACTGGTTCTGAATGAGACCACCCTTAATGGCAATAATTTAATTATGGTCCTAAACCCTTGATTCAGTGAAGTACTCCTAAGTGTAAGTGTTTTGCTAGATCAAGGTCTGCATTCATTTCAGGCATTAATGACCACTTCTGATTTAAATAACTCCTTCTTTATTAACTCTCTTCCCAATCATTTGGCTATATTATCCTAGAAGTCACAGGCTTTACTAAATTATAAAAGAATTAGAAATATTTTGGTTTTTTTCTGCAAGCATTTATATCTGATGGTAGCAGGACATGCAGAAAAAAAAATCTAGCAATAACTTTTCACTACCAGATTATACAAGTATCTTGTAATATTGAAATTGCTCTTGTATGTGTACAGGGTGACAGTGGTTCAGTTCTATGGCTTGGGTACATCTTTTTGCTATTTTCTACAGATTCTGCACCAGTTTCAGACATTTCACTTAATGCTTCATCTCTTTTCCCTTTTGTTATTTAAATTCTAAGACGAAATATATTGATAGTCCTAAAAAAAAAACCACCAAACAATATAAAGTTGAATTGTGAGCAACAACTAGTTGCACCTGGCCTACCAATGTACTTAATCTTTGTTCCATGGCAGAATTTAACTTTGAAAAAGCCAGCCAAGAGCATCGGCCATTAAAACAAATAATGCAACTTATTACCTCGACAAATCCTTATTACCTTTATAGTAATACAGAGTAATAAATTTGTAGTCAAAACCGCTTTCCAAATTTTTTGGCAAATGCAGTTCTACACGAATCAATTCGTTATTTGGATATGTGAAAATAATTTTAATCATTTGCTGTGATAGAGTCGAAGATAAACAAAACTGTGTGAAATTATTTTTGCATCATACTGATTGAATGTGGTATATATTTATGCCATTCCTCCCTCTAGAGTAAAACTGATGCCACCATATGTGTTTTCCTCCCTATTAGCAGAAGTTAATTACATGCCATGGTAAACCTATTTCCCAGAGTTTTAAACTATTTATTTCTGTCATGAAGACGGTGGGAATCTGCATTCCATACAGAGAAAGAGATGAAATGATTAAAGAAAAACAAAGTGGAAAAAAAAACCCACACAGAAAACCACTAAAGACCTAACCTGACAGAGAACTTGTGTAAACATTAAAATTGTTGTCTGGGCTTGAAATAATTGATCACATATTTTAAATTTGTGTTAACCTTTTACAATTTTTGTGCTTTCAAGTTTTCCAATACAGTTCTTTTCCTTTACTGCTGGTGGTCAGGCTCAACCCAAATCCACCCATTTCTCACATGTACATCCACTTCCCCCGTGGTTTCCATCTGTATGTACTAAAATTACCAACAGCAGAATTCAGATGACTTTGCATGTTTGAAAGATTAGTCCATTTAATAGATTTTTAAAGCATTGTTCATTATGTTCAAAGTACCATAAAACTCCTATTTTCATTGCAGGAAAGCTTTTCAAAAAAAAAAAGCAACATTGTTTTACTTAGGTTTTATTTATACATTCATTCATTTAGCACAAAAGAGTGCTCTGATCTTTCTTTCTGCTTTTACACTGCCCTGTAAGGGTGAATAAAACCTCTGCAGCTCAATGCTGAAAGGAGATGATAACAGAAAATTGAGGACAGTTTCCTTACAGGCCTGTCATATCAAGTTCCCTGAGAGAACATGCAATTCCTCTGGCTTTCAGACAGGATCTTCACCCTGTGGTGTGTTTATTCATCCGATGTATTTCCTCAACATCTGGA